TGAACAATTTCCAAATGTATAGGCATATCATGAGTCCTGGTTGGACCCTGGGATGGAATTGGGCTAAGAAAGAAGTGATTTGGTCGATGGTGGGAGCCCAAACCACTGAACAAGGAGATTGTTCTAAGTTCAAAGGAGGAAACCAACCACATTGTTGCAAGAGAAACCCTGTGGTGGTTGATTTGCTTCCTGGAGTTCCTTACAACCAACAGATCTCCAATTGTTGTAAAGGCGGTGTGGTGTCTTCGTGGGGCCAGGATCCCTCTGCTGCTGTTTCGGCTTTTCAAGTGAGTGTCGGCCTTTCGGGCACTTCCAATAAAACTGTCAAACTGCCAAAGAACTTCACTTTGCTCGCCCCAGGACCAGGCTACACTTGTGGTCCGGCAACAATTGTGCCGTCTACTGTCTATCTTACCCCTGATCGTAGACGAAAGACTCAAGCTTTAAGTAAATCTCTATCACCCTCTTTTAAATATTGGCTGCCTAGAAATTATAAAAGACTACCAACGTAACTAGTAGTCCCTTTGTCCTAAAAATAGGGGTCCATATTTCTATTTTAGTTTGTCCTGAGATAATGTCCACTTTCAAAAGTAAGCGTCTATTTCCCGATTCTACCCTTAATTTGAGATAGAGAACTTCATTACTCCCTCATTATCAAGGATAAAATTGTCATTCAGTTGATAAAAAAATGTAAGAATTACACATTTCTAAAACGGGTTATTCAGCTAAATGACCTTGTTGTTGGTGTTTTAAATCCAGACCATCTGACAACTTTTTAGGCATTCTTGTGTTTGAAAGTGGCATTATTTCAGTTAAATAGTGACATCCTCAAACCTTTCAGTAAGTCATGATTTAAAAGAATGTCAGAAGGTCCTTTAACCAAAGGACCCCCTTTCCAAAACTATGTTCCTATTTCATTATGGACATTTATTTTGGGACAGAGCGAGTAAGAGATAGGCACATGGAAGGCGTGGGGACCGCGTGAGCCTTGAAACTTTTAGTAGCCTATCTTTTTATTTTCGAAATATGTTCTCACCCTGTTTCTTTTTCATGGTGAACATTGATTATCTGGTTGCAGTGACATGGAACGTGACATGCACATACTCTCAGTTTTTGGTATCCAAGCATCCACGTTGTTGTGTATCCTTTTCTTCCTTCTACAATCAAACCATCACCCCATGCCCATCTTGTTCATGTGGTTGCCAAAATAAAGACAGATGTATCAAGTAAGTGTTCGTTATGAAATATGCACAAACTATAAACATTGTTACTAAAACTATAGCTACAAAAAGTTCTAGAACAGTTAAATGTGATGATTGATAACAAACTGTAAATTGTGGTTTCGAAAATGCAGGAGCGATTCAAAGAAGCTGAGCATGGTGGGGATAAATACTCCAAGAAAAGATAACGAGCCACTGCTACAATGCACTCATCACATGTGCCCCATACGTGTGCACTGGCACGTGAAGCAAAACTATAAAGACTATTGGCGTGTAAAGATGGCTGTCACCAACTTCAATTACAGGCTCAACTATACACAATGGACTCTTGTGGCCCAACACCCAAATCTCAACAATGTGACCCAAGTTTTTAGCTTCGATTACAAGCCTCTAGTCCCCTATCAATCTATAAGTGAGTAAAACTATCCTTTAAAATGTCTTGTGTGCGATTAGTATGCAGGTTGCATTGGACTGGATGGGCGAGAGGGAGGTATGCGATGAAGGAATTATGGAAGGTGTTATGGTTTTAATTTGACATGGGTGATTTAGTAATATTCCAATCTTATCCATCTCCGTGATTTTTGATCCACCTATTTTGGTTGGACAAAGAAACTGCATTTTTGTCCTACTCTTTCCATCCTGTATCAGTCTAATGACGCCGAATGCAGGATAACATTTTTTGTTCGGTCCTGTCTCATCTTGTCCGTGTACCAAACGCACATAAGAAAAAATTTCTCTGAGAGACACAAAAAGGAGGTGCAGGGTATCATTTCGTTTTGAAGTATATAATATTTTTATATACGGCAAATACTCATGCACACTCCTCACATTTGGTAACGTTTGAACCCTTGACCTCCTAGTAGGAAGCGTTCCACCTCTGAGGGCAAGGTATCTTGCCACCTTCTCTCTCTCTTTCCAAAATAAATCAAATCAGACCAACTAAGTAAATCCCAGACAGAGGTAGGATTTAGGGGTTGGATGTATACACAGCTTGCTTATCTAGTGTTTCCATGAAAATCCCCGACTTGCAAAACAAAAATTAGAAGAAATAAGCAAGCATGCTACAGGTTATCATTATGTGAATTTTATAAAACCCTGAAGTATTTTGGTTGGTGATGTGCAGATGACACTGCTATGTTTTATGGAATGAAGTTCTATAATGATTTGTTAATGGAAGCTGGACCAACCGGAAACGTGCAGTCGGAGGTGCTTATGCAGAAGGACAAGAACACGTTTACGTTTAAGCAGGGATGGGCTTTCCCTCGGAAAGTTTACTTCAATGGGGAAGAATGTCGGCTTCCTCCGCCTGAGGAATACCCATCACTGCCAAACTCCGCCACCACCGAATCAATCATGATTTCAGCCATGGCAGCTTCTGCATTTTGGTTCCTACAGGTTTTCATTTGGTGACATTCGTGTTTTTGTAATGGCTAGTTCAGTCAAGATTACATACATGTGTGCATCTATATTGAATTCGTATGACAGTTTTGTTGACTAAACAAATGGATCTTAAACATGTTTGATGTCTAAAACAAAGGGTTATTCACAAGAATGGTAACCAATAACATAAATGCAATGAGAACATATGACGAACCACAACGATTTGAAGTGGTTTCAGTGTTTTCTTTTGAAATTTTGGCACTCAATGTTCTAAAAAAGGCGCCGAGGCGTAGCCTTGGCGCCACGTTAACACTCTTGGCGGGCCATGGCGCGTTATGGCGTTATAAGGCATCGGAGAAATTTACAATTTTTAAAACTTGAATCGGAGTAAATGTAATATAACTTTATCGTTTAACGGGCCAAATATTTAATCTACAAAACGGGAAAAAAGAAAAAATCTTAAATTACTTCTCAGCATACGAAAAATATTGTCTTATTACTTTAATTTGTTGTTCTTTGATTTCATTACTTTGATTTTCTTGTTTAGTATCAAACAGAGAGTGTAAGCACTGACTTGCTTTGTATATTTGATATCATTTTTGCAAACTCTGTATATATTTGATATCAAATTATCAATTCATGGTTCTTCTTTTGTTTATCTTCTTATATAAATTTAAATTGTTAATAACTTAATCATTATTGTTCAAGACATTGACATAAATACATACACACACATAGAGAGAGAGAGAGAGAGAGAGATTTTTCGCCTTAAGCCACGCCATAGCCTTGCCGTAACTCATAAGGCATGAGGCTAAACCTCGCTGCCATGCCACGCCGCAGGCCATCTAGAATCATGTTGGCACTAGAGATAAAGAAGTCGATTCAGTAGCATGGGCTGCAAATGCAATAAGGGCTTGGTGTCATTATGTTAATAAAAAAAATGGATTGGTGGTATATTTACGAATTGGTCCACTATAGAAATGAGACTTCATAAGTTTAGAGACTTGACAACCGAACAAAAAATAGGTGACTCAACCGTCTTCCTAAAAGGGATGCGGCTATGTTGAAAAGAAAAAAACTACGTCAATCGGTCTAGATATGGTATGCCACAAGTGAATATTTGCAACAAGAAATGACTCCTAATTTTCAATCTTTTGTATATATTTTCGGTAGTAATTTTAGGTACTATTGCATGTAACATGGGCTTAACGGTTCTAGAACCATCAATAATTGGTGAACCAGTTCAATTTTTGGCAAGTCTCATGATCATCCAATAAGAAGGGTTTCTTTTGGTGCCGACAAACCCCAAGATATAGGGTCATTTCGGTAATTCATAGGACGAATACGTAAAGTATCGCTAAAATACCGATTTCCAAGTTGTAGGGTCCTTTTGGTAATTTCATAGGGATTATATTTAAAATAACACTTAGATACCAATTCCCAAGACATTGAGTCATTTTGGTAATTTTATAAAGCAAATACGTAAAGTATTGCTAAAATAACGATTTCCAAATATATGGCAGTTTTGGTAATTAAAAATAATAATATAAAAATGAAGCTCATAGACCAATCCTCAAGATATGTATCTATTTTGGTAAATTTTGGAAGCAAATACATAAAATATTGTTAAAATACCGATTTCTCATTTATAGGGTCATATTGGTAACTAAATGAGATAAATAATTGAAATTGGGTCAAAGTTTGCATTTTACAAAATCCAAATAAAACTTGATGAAAGTTTCATAAAATTTATATAAGGAAAATTATATTTCTGAAACTGCAGGTGTCAAATGTTAATTTCTGAAACTCAAATGTATACTGCATATTAAAAATATGGGCGCATACAAAGTAATATATCATGTATGTAGCCTACTGGTTAAGGTGTTGAAACCCTTTGCTTGAGGTTGTGGGTTCGAATCTTATCCTCAGTACTCCCCTCCCAATCTATTTTTAATAGAAACAGATGCGGGTCTTGGGTCGGGACGACTCGATCTGTGACCTAGGCGAAAACATCAAGAAAAATAGCAACCATTGTTGCACGTTTTCAAGCTTTTTGAGCTTGAAAATGACTCGTTTCTTGATCTTTTTTCTTCATTCTTTTTGCACCAAACTCTTGGTAATATTTTTACCAACACTTCGACATAAAAAACACAAATTTTTATCAAGAAATGAGTTTTATTTACTCATTTAAAGTTTGTTTTTAAAAATAAAATTCAACAATTTCAAAACATAAAAATCGAACCACGAAAACACAAATATGAGACATGAGACTACTGGGGTTTGATAGAGTACTTAAAAACGAAGTCATAGACATAAAAATCAAAAGATTTGGTTAAGAATCTCACCCAAAATCGGTGAAAAACTGACATTTTTAATTCCGAACTTCAAACTTAGATTTCTCGCACAAAACTCAACGATTTTTCTAGCTACTTGAACCAAAATGATCATAAGTCGGTGCTCTATATTTATAAGTTTTGATTTGTTAGTTGACGAAATCAGACCAAATCGCGAGTTTTTGGCTGAGGGGTCGTTTTCTTCAAACAGACATGTACTGTTGGCAAAACAGGTCCCTCATCCTTGAAAAGGATGACATTCCCCCCTGAACTTTCTGACATTTACAACCAAACCCCTCCTGATGTGATATATTACATTTTTGGTCCAATAATAGAAGAAAACAATTTTATTTTATTTTCCATTTTGTCCTTCTTTTCATTGTTTATTTATTTAAGATTTCTATAATTATTTCATTTAATTAATTACGTAAATATTTTAACACTTCAAATGAATTTAATAAAAATATATATTTAAAGGATTATATAATATTATTTATATATTTAAAAAAATGGGTTTTACATAAATAAAGGGGACCATTTGGTACCGACTTGTCATACAAATATATTTTATACTTTCATATATGCCTTATGGTTACTTGTCGTACAATCTCTTTATAATACATTACCATTAGATGCTTGATGTTTGATACAAGAATTGTTTTAACTACAAGATTAAGACATGGATTATGAAAACGCAAATGGAAGAAAGATCTCCAATTGGCAAAAAGCTACATTCGTAAGATAAAATCAAAAGGATTACCTCATCGCTGATGCCATGGCTGGCTGTCTAAAACTTGTCGGATACGAGCTTCTCCACATTCCAGTGATGATTCTTAAAGACTAAGTCAAAACTAATTTAATTAAGTTTTTCATCAAGGTCAACCCCAATTTGATTATATTAACATCCACCTCATACATATTTGGGACCAATTTGTACTTCAACTTCTGTATTATATTGATGGGATCTGGTATCTTATCACTCTTTAGGAATTATTCTTAAATTTGTCTTTTATCTGATTTGGGAGCATTTATGTGTCGGTACGGAATGCACCTGAGAATGCTAGTTCAACAAGAATGTCTATTTCATGGACGATGAGAATAAAAAACTCAAAACATGAGCTCAACCATCAACATATATATGCGAACTCGTTATTCATGCTCATATGTTTTGTAAGAAAATCATGGTTTTGAGCAGATTTACATTCCCATTAAGACCAGATGTTATCATTTATATGTTATATTATTGTGCAGGTTAGAACATGATTCTTTTGATGTGAAATGTTACAACAACTTGCCTTTTTTAAAGAAATTAACTTTGTTCTATCTGTTGTAGTTGTGGTGGCATATGATCTCTTTGATCCAACATCAAACATAACCATTACTTGGGATGTTGTTTCATGGACTCCAGACGGCTATGTTGTAAGTGAAATTGTAAAAAGTTGAGATTTTAGAGTAAATTGTGATGGTTAATTACATTAGATAAGTGATTTGCAGGCTGTGGTGAAGATGAACAACTATCAGATGTATCGACAGATCACAAGTCCTGGTTGGACCTTAGGATGGACATGGGCAAAAAAGGAAATAATATGGTCAATGGTGGGAGCTCAAGCAGATGATCAGGGAGAATGCAAGGAATTTCAGAGCAATATTCCTCATTCTTGTGAGAAGAATCCTAGAATCATTGACATGCATGTGGGAGCACCTTACAACCAGCAGTTCCCAAACTGCTGCAAGGGTGGTATTGTAACTTCACTGGGCCAAGATCCTGCTAATTCGCTCGCAGCATTTCAGTTGAGTGTTGGGAACTCAGGCAAGACCTATAGAACGGTCAGTCTGCCCAAGAATTTCTCCCTGCTGGGTCCCAACCAAGGCTACACCTGCAGCTCTGTATCCATCGTGCCATCTTCTGTTTCTTTCTCATCTGATGGCCGTAGAAAGACCCGAGCTTTAAGTAAGTTTCACTGTTGCAACAAGGAGCTTTATGTATGGGTTTTTTTTCTTTCTGATCAAAGGGCCATTGGCCCAGCCGTATCTGGGTTATTGGTAGAGCCTAGCCTCCCTAAAGGTCAAGGGTTCAAGCCTCACCAAAGGTGAGGAAAGTGCATGAGTATTTGCCTTATCATATACTAGAAGAGTACTCGCGCAATGCAGCGAGACACATCTCGATTTTAATGTTCTGTTTTATTATTTGTCTATGTCGATGTTATAATACGATTTTATGTGTTTTTAATAAAGCAATAATGATTTTATTTTTAAATAAAATATAAATTTGAATATATCAAAAAAAATTTGAAAAAAAATATATCAATGCTAATATCAAATCTATTTAAAAGTTTTCATTTTTTTTATTATAATTTAATTTAAGTTTAATAACAAAATAATTTATTTTTTGTTTAATAATATAACATTTTATAAAGATAATAATTAAGTATTCTGTTAGAATTTAATGATTATCCTAATTATAATTTAGATTTTTTTATATTTAAAATGAGATGTTTATCTTGTATTTGATTATGTTTATCTGCAATTAGTTACACGAATTCAGATATGGAGCTTTAATAAGTTGTACTTACGCACAATCTACTTGCAATCTCGAGTTTTAAGTAATATGCATTAATAAACAGTACTTTACGCACAAAAACTGGTTTTTAAGAGTTTTTGTCAAATTATTTATAATATAGTATAGAAAAAAAATATCAATGTTAGTATCAAATCAATTATTTAAAAGTTCTCATTTTTTATGTAATTTCTTTAATTTATTTTTTATTGTAATTTAATTTATTTTTTTATTGTAATTTAATTTAAGTTTAATGATGAAATAATTTATTTTTGGTATAATAATATAAATTTTATAAAGATAATAGTTAAGTATTCTGTTAGAACTCAATGATTTTTCTAAATATATTTTACATTTTTTATATTTAAAATAAGATGTTTATCATGTATTTGATCATGTTTATCTGTAGTTAGTTACATGAATTCAGATATGGAGCTTTAATAAGTTGTACTTACGCACAATCTACTTGCAATCTTGAGTTTTAAGTAATACGCATTAATAAACAGTACTTTACATATATAAAAATGGTTTTTAAGAGTTTTTATCAAATGTTTTATAATATAGCATAGATATACTTACAAAAAGGGTGTTCTGATTCTTGAACTCATGTGCAGTGACATGGCAACTGGCGTGCAGTTACTCGCAATTGCTGGCCTCGAGAACCCCAACCTGTTGTGTATCGATGTCGTCTTTTTACAACAGTGAGATAACACCATGTCCTTCATGTGCTTGTGGCTGCATGAACAGTGAAACTTGTGTTAAGTAAGCTTTCTGTACTCAAATTTCAAGAGCATACATATAGGATGGTTGAAAATCTTGAACCAAAACCGTAAAATATTTTTTGTGACACAGGAGTGACTTGGTTATATCACGTGCGGTAAGAAGAAGCCCACAATCAGAAGGTACTGCTACTATGAAGCAATGCACTCAACACATGTGCCCCATTCGGGTTCACTGGCATGTGAAAAGAAACTATAAGGCGTTTTGGCGTGTGAGGATCACCATCACTAATTTCAACTACAATCTGAACTACACTAAGTGGACACTTGTTGCTCAACATCCAAATCTCAATAATGTGGCCACAGTTAACAGCTTTATCTATAAGCCTCTCCTCGTCTATGAATCCATAAGTAAGTTGATCAAATACTGGTTTTAGAATACAAACCCTAAACCATTTGGTTGCTAGTAAACTGGTCCCAAGAAATTTGCTTATTCACATGTAATTTACCATCTAAACAAGAAGCAAACTCATTAGTCTATGTGTTCCTGGGTTTCAAATCCAGATGATACAGGTATGTTTTATGGTGTAGAGAAGCTCGAGAATGACCTCCTACTGCAGGCTGGTTCAAATGGAAGTGTGTATTCAGAGATGATTCTCCGAAAAGATGAGAAAATATTCACATTAAACCATGGTTGGGCCTTCCCGCGTAAAGTCTACTTCAATGGTGACGAATGCATAATGCCTCTGCCTGTTTCTTACCCATCTCTTCCAAACTCGGTCCTTCCTGTTTCAGATATCAGACGACTGGTCATTATTCAAATATTAGTAGCAATTGTTTATCAGTTACTCTAAAGTTAGACCTATGTAGATTGAGGATTCAGATTTTTCTCCATTTTCACATGGATAGTTGTTTTTACCAAGAAGCAACAGTTGAAGTAGATTTATATATGTAACTAAAATGTAATGCTTCAAACAACATATAGCAACACTCAAAATCTATATAATCTGTATATATGGCACATATCTGTCTCTTGCCCCTCCCTGTTTTTGCTTATCAACTAGATACATTAGATTATAGGCATATGCACAATGGCAAAAGCCAAACATTGATGTTAAAGAGTAGCCCAAAAAGGCTCAAGGCCATATCGAACCATATATTAAGATTTTTTCAAGGTGGATGATCACCAAAATTATTGGTAAGGAGTTTAGTCTTTCTCAGTAGGCAGTGGTTATGGGTGAAAAGTTAGATCAATATAAATGAATGGGAGATAATGACTTGCCATCACTCTAAACTCTCTGCCAGTGTAACTTTACCATCACACCTCTTGCTTTATATCTCAGTAAACTAACCAGTTAAACAGGGAAGGGAGAATCAGAAAAGGCACACAACCACCATTAGGTAAGCTATCTCCATGCCTTCATACTCTGCACCTTTTTCTTGCCCTTTTTAATGCAGCAAAGGAGATTATTCAGTTATAGAATTCTCAAAAAAGAAGTTTTTAGAAGTCAAGAGAAATGGTTTTTGAGGCTGCTACTATTCCTGTTTTCAAGTTCAGCTTATGGGCTATTCTTCTATTCATGTTCTCTTCGAACTCAAGTATGGTAAATTAAATTAATTTGCTTGTTGGAATATTATATGATATACAGTTTGTATAAAAGCTTAATATTGTTATTTCAGTGGCATTTGATCCTCTGGATCCTTTTGGGAATATAACAATCAAATGGGATGTGATATTTTGGACGGCAGATGGTTATGTGGTGAGCTTCTTGTACTTTTTTTTTTGCATCTGCACCAAATTTTAACTTGGAAAATGATTTGACAGCAGTGTAACAAATTAATTTCTTGCAGGCGACTATGACAGTGAACAATTTCCAAATGTATAGGCATATCATGAGTCCTGGTTGGACCCTGGGATGGAATTGGGCTAAGAAAGAAGTGATTTGGTCGATGGTGGGAGCCCAAACCACTGAACAAGGAGATTGTTCTAAGTTCAAAGGAGGAAACCAACCACATTGTTGCAAGAGAAACCCTGTGGTGGTTGATTTGCTTCCTGGAGTTCCTTACAACCAACAGATCTCCAATTGTTGTAAAGGCGGTGTGGTGTCTTCGTGGGGCCAGGATCCCTCTGCTGCTGTTTCGGCTTTTCAAGTGAGTGTCGGCCTTTCGGGCACTTCCAATAAAACTGTCAAACTGCCAAAGAACTTCACTTTGCTCGCCCCAGGACCAGGCTACACTTGTGGTCCGGCAACAATTGTGCCGTCTACTGTCTATCTTACCCCTGATCGTAGACGAAAGACTCAAGCTTTAAGTAAATCTCTATCCTCCCTCTTTTAAATATTGGCTGCCTATAAATTATAAAAGACTACCAATGTAACTAGTAGTCCCTCTGTCTTAAAATAGGGGTCCATATTTCTATTTTAGTTTGTCCTGAAATAAGTGTACACTTTCAAAAGTAAATGTCTACTTCTCAATTCTACCCTTAATTTGAGATAGAAAACTTCATTACTCCCTCATTATTATTTATTAAGAGTAAAATTGTCATTTAGTTAATATAAAAGTGTAATAATTACACATTTCTAAAGCGGATTATTCAGCTAAATGACCTCGTAGTTAGTGTTTTAAATCCAGACCATCTAATAACTTTTTAGGCATTCTAGTGTTTGAAAGTGACATTCTTTTTTTAACAACAAGGTTGCCTATTTTGTAAGGCTTGGGACCCAAAATGACTATTTTTGTCATTAACCCTTAATCTAATTATATGATATGATGTCATATGTTGTACTTGAAATTGTTTTTCTACACGATAAAATAGCATCCGAACTCCATAATCATAAGAATGATAGAAAGAGAGATTCTCTATAATATGTTATATTACATCTTGAAATCCACCCCATGAATTTGCTATGTCTTAACGGGATCAAGTTTATTAATTTGAATGTGAAATGAACAGACACAATATTAAGGCACAATAAATAGGTTTATTATGAATAGCTGTCCACTTTTACACCAAAAATAAGTAAAAAACGGTCGAAATAGGTAAACATTTAGGGGGTGTTTGAGATTGTTTATTTGAAACAACTTATGTTTCTACAAAATCACTTATCAACTTATTATAAGTCAGTAAAATTTAACTTCTTCAAAAAATACTTATTATCGGTTTGACACCGGTATAAATTGTTTATCCAAATATTAAAAAATGTTTATTATTGATGTAAGTAAATCAATAAGTTGTAATGCTAATCAATGCTATTTGTGAGAAAATTGAGAAAAATAAATGAGAGAAATCGGGTATGTTTGGTATGCAAAAGGAAAGCAAACGAGAAGTGATTCCAGATGAGTGTTTGAATCCCTCGATACTTGGGCGGCGCTTCGAACTCCACTCATCAATCTCTCTCTCGTGTAGATTTTATTATCCCCACGGAGGTCAACTGCGCCGGCTTTTCCTCTTCCTTTCCACAATTTTCATTCTCTCCGACAGCCCACGACGGTGGACGCTGCTGGCTGCTCGAACGACGACGTTGAAGGACGCCAATTGCTCGATTTCTCATCAGATTTATCGTTTCTGAGGTTTGCCAATTTCTCATCAGATTTCTCAGGTGTGAATTTTGGAGTTTAAGCATTCAATTACTCAAGATTTGACGAATTATCTTTGTTTTTTTGGTTAAATTTATGAATCGAGCTGTAACATTGACATATATCAATATCAGGAAAACATATGTATAAATCTATGATCATCGAAGGCCATATGTTTCTCTTTAACTTCAGAGGCTGTTGACACTAGTTGATCTCCCTCATTCATTTATCACCGTTTATGTGCTGATGAAAATGTTAAATTCATATGATACGGGTAAGATAGATGAACAGAGATCACTGTCTTTGTGATCGGAAAGTGCCACTAAGGTAGGTTCAATAAGATGTTGGTTAGACCTACTACTATGGATGGTCTTCGCCATTGTTGGGCTTGGGTTTCTAAGATACATGTAAACAGATGATAGGAAAAGACATTACACTGCCTCATGAGCGTTATTCAGCTCCAGTTGAGACCTTTGGATGCATCTATGAGACCTTTGTAACAAGGCAACATGTCCTTGTGTCCCTTTTGCACACACATTAATGTTGAATTTACAAGATGCTCTAGGGCACATTCTAGTCTGTAAGAAAATGTCATTCTAGACTTATGGTCAATGGTTCTATGCACATCATAATATTGTGCTTTGGATTTTAAAATCAAAGTTTGCATCAGAACTGTAATTGCAAGATATGTTCTTGAATAAGAAAGAATTCAGTGAGAATATATCTCCAGTTTGTATGTAATTGTCATAACCATGCTAATATTTGTAAAGATTTCTTTTTATGAATTCTTGGTTTTTGAAGGTAATTTCTACTATTTGGTTGATGACAATGGAGTGTGAAGCTTTTCATTCTCAACTGCTACTGTATGGTCCCTAGCTGTAAGAGATGTATTAGGCATGAATTTTACCATCACATTTGGAGCAGATCGATGCCTATTGATGTGACCTGAAGGTTTTAACACACCATCTGTATTGGGTTTGGTTTCATGCTTTCTTTAAATAAGCTAGTATAGAAACCAGAAAGTCAACATTAGGTTATGGTGCATTGGCATACTTCTGCCCGTACATATATTGCTGACTTGAGTGTTGTAGCAGTTTGCAGCTTGTTGGTGAAAACGTATATATTTAATGATGTGTCCCTTTAGATGGCCTAGTCCACATTGATCAGATAATCAATGTACTTATATATGTTGTTTCTTTGAAGAAGTAAGCATAGTTCCATCAGGATGTTTTTTTTTACAAGATATTACTTTTGTTAGTGTTGGTTGTGAGTGCACATTGAAGTACGGGTGCAACTCACTGGGTCTAAAAGCTAGCCTCCTTGGCCATAATTTGTTATGGTATGTTCATGAAGTCAAGCATGTTGTGGTTGTAACTTGAAACAAGGAAGTAAAAAGGGTTCTCACTTTGTCCAATCACATTTCAGAAACAGGAATAACCTTTCTGTGAAGGATTCCTGTGCATTTGTTTCTGCACCTGCTATAAATTTCCTGGACATGTTTCTAAATTTCCTCTGGTTATGCATAGAATCTGAATTTCTTGGACAAATTAATGCAGTCATTCTTTTAGTTTCTCATTTTCTGTTGACCTTGTTGCGGCAGTTTATAACTAATAAAAGGAGTAAGAAGACATTGGTCAAAGCACAGACTTACATCTTGTATTGGACAGGTAGCGGCTTTGTAGGGGACTTCTTTTTTGTGGATGTTGATCAAGCAGCTCTAATTTTTGGGATAGTATGAATACTACAATGAATTAACATTCTAAACGTATTGCTGCTGATGTATTTGCAGGAGGCAAGAAGTATGGATTATGACTGTGCTCCTGTTAAAAGGAGAAAGATATTGACTCAGCATCTAGTGAACCATTCTGAATCAAACAAAGACCCAAATCTACTATCGCCAAATGAGAGCAGAACTACTAGTTTGGCGTGCCTAGATGAAGCACATGCAACCTTTTGTTCAGCAGACATTCCGAATGCAGAAGTGGTAGTCAAACAGAATGACACATTCATTGATGGGAATGAAAGTTTCACGGAGGACTCTGAGATTGAGCTTTCTGGCCTTGAGCAAGAAAGCAACGAGAGCAAGAATAAAATGGTGAGTGAAGGATTAAAATTGACTACCAATGAAGATAGCTCTGGTAAATCGTTTGCCACTGACTTTGCTGGAGAAAACTCTGAGCACGCTGGAGACACCAAGGCAAGTGCCAACGTGAATGTAGTGTGTGATGTTCACACCGTTGAAGGAGAAACATCTGCTGAGACATCTAGCAGGAGTCATCCGAGCACAGAATCCAAGATGGAAGTCATTCCTTCTTTAACAAAACTGGATGTAACTAAAGAAAATGCTAGTCAAGTTAGGAATGAAGATTACCTGTCTCCTCAGATTTTGGGATCTTGTGGGCATAGCGGCCATTTGCATTCTAGAAGAAAGCTTCTTGTCCTTGATGTGAATGGGTTGCTTGTTGATATTGTGGCAGACCCAGATGAAGCCTACAGAGCATCAGCAGACACAATAATAGGGTCAAAAGCAGGTCAGGATTTTGTTTTAAGAGTTATTATTTGAAATTTATTGACTATATGCTACTCATCTAATTGCTTGATTGTTGTTTGCTTTTGTAGTATTTAAGAGACCATATTGTGACGAGTTTTTACAATTTTGCTTTGAGAGATTCAATGTAGGTGTATGGACATCAAGAACAAGGTGCTCCCTTTTTTCTGCTTATGCTACTTTATTGTCTTTTCTTGGGTTCCTCGTTTCATCAGAACTGAACAATTTTTGTCACTTATTTGGAACGTATTTCATTATATTAACCCCTTACTCTATTTTTTTCTTATTCTTATGCAACTTTTCTGGTGTTATCATATGTTTGTACACTTCCTCCAGGAGAAATATTGAGCGGGTTCTTGACTTTCTCATTAAAGACTCTCAACATCAATTGCTTTTCTGTTGGGTAAGGTCATATATTCTGTACTCATGTGGCATTGTAGATGTGTTTCATCTCTACGCACCAACTTGCATTTTTTGTTCAGCTCAAGTGATTCTTATTTTGTGTAAAATGTGTATCCACTCTGTTGACATCTTGTAGTATAGATGTATGGATGTATCCAGTTATGTAGAGGAAAGCATAATTTGCGGATACATTTTGCATTCCAATAAAACGAGGAGCGATGGAGTTGAGTAAATGTAATCGTATCAGCATGATCATTTTTACTTTTTAATATTTAGTATTGTCAAATTGAGAACTCGAATTCCTGTAACTGGAGATGAATAGGTGTACCATTTGGTGATAGAACATCTTTGTGTAAAGGCAAGTTTAGTTACATTAGTTATGATATGTCATTCACCTACATACAAGGCCCAAGCCCATCATTATTGGTATTCTAGAATAATCTTCTTAGGGAGTACCGGAGTAGTATAAAAGAAGGGGGGGGGGGAGGGAGGAGGGTAGAGCCAGGTTATCGAGAAAATTAGTAAGTCTTTTGGGAGAGCTATGACCTGTAGAATTGCCAGCACCAGTTTCACCGGTGAAATTCATGAAACATGCACTTTCTTTCTCCATCATTTGTTGATTTCTCTGGTGAATTGCAATTGTTCTTTTATTGTTTGTTCGGATCAACCCGGTTCATAATATGATACTTTCTTGGGTGATCCAAGTTTTTAGAAGGGCAAGTGCTAGGAGCTATGAATGAAGAAGAACGGGAGATGGTTTAATCGGCAAACTTGCACAAAAACTAAATAAAGGGTAGTCCATATGGAGAAAACTCCAAAACGGTAACCCGAATAATTTTCTGCCATCTAGAGAACAAAACAGTCAACGTATCTTGACAAGGCCCTCTTTACAACTAGCTGAACTTGAAAGCTCGGCCTTAGTTTAAAGTCACCCACTTCATTTATCATTGCCAATCGTCTTCCCTAAGGCTAGCAAAGCATTGATTTTTGAGAGTTAATTTACTGGCCCATAGTAAATTACATGACAGTTTAGGAACATGTAACACATCTTCAATGTTAGACATGAAGAAATATATTTAAACTAATACGAACAAACAGGGTCCTAGGAAACAAACTGGAAGGTGGAGCTGTAGATATCCTTAGATTTATGGAAGACTTTTTCTATGCTCATGTGATGCCTTTTTTTCTTATAGAATGTCTTTAAAAGAAGTGTTGTATCAATAAGTGAAGCACAAGTTTTACACGCTTATAGAAGTAGCTTTGGCCAGGCCTTCACCAAGGTATTACTTACATTGGATATTTTAGTTGTTATGCTGTTGGGGAATCCCTTTTCATTCTGCTTATCAATAAACGTTTGCTAATGTTGCTTAGAGCCGGGTCTTTGTTTATTTTTTACATCTTACTATTGTTTTGCTATTTGAAATACAGCAAGTGTATTACTATGAACTTGCAAGCTGCATGTTTTTTTGCTGCTTATTATGATGATAATCATCTGTTCATTAATATGATCAAGACTGGTTTTTGTACAGGATCAATCTCATTGTACTGAGACCGGTTTTAATACTATTGAGAATAGTGACAAGCCCTTGGTTTTGAAGGAACTTAAAAGGTTATGGGAAAAGCAAGATCCCAGCCTTCCCTGGGATAGAGGAGCGTATGATGAAACAAATACACTTCTTTTGGATGATTCTCCATACAAGGCGCTGCGTAATCCCGTAAGCTGTCTATTTCTTTTCTTTCCCTTTCTTTCTGTTTATATTTTTTGTCACCAATAAAGGTATTAATTTCCTATGCACTTATTGTTTCTATTTTCAGCCATATACTGCAATCTTCCCTTATACTTACTGTTACCGCAATACCCAAGATGATGGTTTAGGTAAGTCATTGTGCCACATTTATTTCTGTTCTATTTGTAGCCTCATCTATATTACTCATAGAACGGATTATGGTACTTCATAATTGTGCATAATTAGCATCTCAATCGAATGTGACCCTTGTAAGTTATTTATCGTCTAACATGATACTTATGTCATTAAAACAATTTTTTGCTCTTCCACTTGCACACTACCCTGCTTTCTGATTAATTCCCAGATTGCATCATTTTCAACAAAGCTCTCTTGTTCATTGTCTGCTAATGGTTCAATGGGAATGCCGCTTTGTACATGGTGTTATCTTTCAATGATTCTTGCATTTCTTGTATTGAAGTTTTTTCTCATCTTCCACTATCTGTACAGCACTGCCTGGATGCACCGCCAACATTTTCTACTTATATTGACAGGTATCAGGAGAGAGATGTTTCTATTATGCAACCTTAATAAGAAGCCATCATGGCTTTTCTGTTGCAGAAAACCCCAATAACTAAATTACCAAGGGGCTTGGTTTTGGGAAACAGCTGTGAGTATATGATGATGCTGTTTTGTGGCTTCTCTGAAAAATTGGCTATGATTAGTTGAGATGAGAGTGGTTTTAGGCTGAAATTCAGCAGAGATGGTTCTGTCGTAATTAGATGTCCAGCACCACTATGTTTTTGTTCAACGTTACCTTGTAGACATTAGATAGATCATGATGGTGATCTAGAAATCAATCAAGAGAAAAGAAGTAAGGGAAGGTAATGTGGAAGTACTAGGTGAAGGGTGGATATAAAATGAATGGTGCAGACAAACGCAAGCCAATGGAGGGGAAAAACCGACAAATGAGTTTCTAGATGGACAATGTGTGACTATTTATAGTCTTCAAGTGTGTATTTTTACTGTGTGGTTGTTTCTTATCAGTTTGGTGAGCAAGTTTGTCAAGTGCCTATTGCATGGTCTATTGTTAATTGGGTATTAGATTTGCTGTAATCTTTGTATAAAATGGACTTGGTGACAACTATGGAGTCACAAATTAGTTCAGTTTGAATATTATTTATTGTAATTATAAGTGGTTTGCCTATATGTTATTGTTTGTGTATAAGAATCCCAGCAATGTCTTAAGCTTATTAGGGTTATTTTGAATTATTATATTTGGCCAAAAGTTCGCGCAGTTTACTCTTTCTGTACAGGGTTTTCACTTGATATAAATCAAATAAAACCATAAAGACTTGCTTGGTATTAGAGCCTAGGTTTTGCTTACGGCATCCTAGCCCTTGTAATTTCTGCCTCTAAAGCTATATTGGCCTCGACTATGTCTCTCATCGGTTCTCCCTTGTCCAAAGGCGGCTAAGCTCTTTCCAGTAACGTGGAAGAGGCCTGACTAGTCAGTTACCAGCCGACCGCTCTACCACTGAGCTTGACACCTCTATTATTGCATCAAACAACAATTGAATTCTGCAGCAAAGTTACTGCAGGTCCCCGCTTTCTGCCACCTTCTATAGTTGTCATAAAATGTAGGTCGTCATCAATAACATCGCTACCTAGGCTGATCGATGGCTTCTTGCATGACCCTCCTGCCATTGCAAGATGCATCCATCTCTTTGATCTCCTACCAGCTTTCCCATGCCAGGTGGCCATCGTATCCATTATGTCACCAGTTATCATCATCACACTCAATAACTTCACCAAATAGCTTGCGGGATGCCTAATATTACCATACTAGCCTAGAATTACCATAGTAGTGAAATGTTTCATGTCAGATACCTACAATGTGTCAACCTACTCCGTCCAGACAACTGGAACCCAACTCTTACAAAATGCTTCACTCAATTCAAGAATATGTGCATAAGTTATTCCCACATAGCCTAACCCCGGAGTTCAGACCATGACAAGCTTGATTGTTTCCTGAGCAGCAGGATGGTGGGCATCCGGAAAGGAGGTATCGGGTTCAACCTGAGGCAACACCACCTGCCTCTGACTCGCGGTCCTGCTTGCTCCTGTCATCAAACACTAAATGCCTCCGTCAAATCTGCTTCCACCTGCTTGCTACTGTCATAGCTTCCGGTCTCATCTTCGTCCCTTCCTCGAAGAAAAGTTCACCCAGGAACTTGTGCAACGGCTTGAAGTCCTTGAAGGTGAGGCAGTCATTCTTCGGCTGGATACAGAATTTCCAGGCCAAGCAGTACCAGGAACGGCTGACTATGATATGTTTATCCTCAAAAGGATCTCACTAGGTAGGTGTAAGGGTTATGGCGAGTCAAGCAAGTCGTGCTTCAGTAAATAAAAAAGCGAATAGAAGTGTTGAACTTCCGATCATCATAGATGGAGATGAGTTACTCGTTATTTGTATCGATTAAATCAAAGTTATGACGGAGGCGTATGGAGTTGACAGATGGAGAAAGGAGGTGGAAGGAGTTGGTGATGGAGGAATTAGTTTTATTTCTCCCAAGAAGTCATCTCTACTAAGTTTTTTGAGTAATAGGTAATTCCATTACAAACAACCATTTTTATTTCATTGTCATTCTTATTCGTATTCCTTATCATCCGAAAACCCCAATCAAGCACCCCCGAAGCTTTTGTCTATTCAGCCAGCACATATGGATTGAGAACCAGCTGGCTGATGTAGGAGGAAGCCCTTACAAGCTGTGCAAGTTTATATTATCTTTATCAATTTCGGTGTGACAAACATCTATGCTCCAACTTGGGAACTATATTATCTTAGCCTTTCTGATATCACTCAATTCTTATAAGTTTTTGCTGTATTAATGTACTTGGCCTATGAGCCTACTCTCTGTCTATATAAGAACTACTGTTGACGATATGCCACATTAATTTAAACCACAACTTTTTAGAGTGTTGAATATGAACTTCAAATTTTGATTTATTTTGTCACTCTCTAAATAGGCATTGTTTCTCCTAGTCCTTTTAAATGCATTGTAGTTGTCATTCACGTAATTTGGAGATTGCTTTCATGAGCTGATTATCATATTCTTCATTTACCATCACAGGACCTGAAGGTGACCTTCGTAATTATCTGGAAAGGTTGGCCGCATCTGAGAACATTCAAAAATTTATAGAGCAAAACCCATTTGGCCAACAACCCATTTCAAATAACGATGAATCATGGAAATTTTACCTTAAGGTCATTAGTGGCAGCTCTTCAGAAGCTGATTTGGCTGCCAAATCCTTACTCCTCCGTTCTAGAAAGAAACTTATTATTATTGATGTGAGCGGGTTGCTTGTTGATGTTGTAACACTTCCACGTGAAGGATACAGAGCAGATGCAATACAAGGGTCAAAAGCAGGTGTGAATATGTTTGTTGGAGTGATCATTTGAAATTAATTATTTGATACTACTCAACAAGTTGGTCACTCTTGAGTATTATTTCTGTTGCAGTGTATAAAAGACCGTATTGTGATGAGTTCTTGCAATTTTGCTTTAAGAGATTCAATGTAGGTATCTGGACATCAACAACAAGGTACTCTAAAATTTTCAGCTTATTGATAAGTTACTTTGGTTTTTTGGATTTTCAAGTCAATAACTCTCATCGCTTGTATCAATCGTATACTTTTGATTTTCTATTATTGTATTTTTTCCTATAATTTTTTGTGCTTATACGGATGTTTACCAACTTCGTACAGATTTAATATTGAAAGGCTTATTGACTTTCTTATGAGAGACACTCAACACAAATTGCTTTTCTGTTGGGTAAGATTATTTATTCTGTACTTCTATTGTGTTGTTTATTTTATTTCTACACGAAAATCCTATGCTGAATTGATCTTGAGTTCCTTATTTTATACAAATTTCTTAAAATCTGTCTTCACTTTGTTGAGATCTCATACTAGAATGGATGTGGATGGTTACATGGAGGAAAGCACAATTGAAGACATTTAAAAATTGTAGAAATATGGGAGGCATGGAGTTTATGTTTGCATATTTTTAGTTTGAACGTGTTCAGTGAATGCGTGGTTTGGGATAAAAATTAGGCCCCGATACTAAGCTAATTTGTATTTTACTCTTTATATTCTAAAAATTCCTCAAGCTGGAGGAGAACATATATCATTCATTTCTAACTTGACAAAGCAAAACAGATGTAGGGTCAGATGAGCTTTTGGGGGGCTACAGTATATTCAAAAACTGAAAACAAAGAAAACATAGAAAATGAAATAAAACGAGTAAAAAACATAGACTTGATCTTCAAAACTTAGAGCAAGTTCATTCCTTTTCATACCTGGATCACACTGAAAACCTAAGTAAGTTGACTAAACAAATCCAAATTAGTATCACAGACCAAGAAAGAAACAATCGTAGTAGAAAAATGCAAGTCAAAGCAAGGGGGTCCATCCGGTACAGCCTGATGAGTCCATTCACTTCTTAATTTCAACCCACAAACTAAACAGTGAACCAACTTATAGTTTATCGATAAGTCAAATGCAGGGAGTCCAACCATCCATAGCTAGCAAACTGATAACAGATCAAACCAGAGAAACATAGAGGCATGCTCCTCCTAACTAGATGGCTCCTCCGTGTGTCTCCATATGTTTATGCTTTTCCTCCTATAAAGAATATGCATTTGAAGGTGAGGCATGGCTTGTTGGAGCTACAGGAGGTGGCAACATTGGTTGTGAGGGCTTCACGAATTGGGACGGTATGTGGCAACAGCCCCCTTCTGCCCACACCCTTTTTTCCGCTGAATCCAATCCACTTCGTTTTCTCTCTTAACCCATATTTGGCTTAATCCTGACCCACTTTTAACTTTATCAAATTTTACAATACATTGTTACATATAAAATACAACTTGTATGAACTATATATTTCAGAATATAATAATTAAGACCAAAATATAAATTAACAAAAACAACATAACAAACTACAAAAGTAGTACAAATATATATATATATATATATATATATATATGATAGATATACGGAGAAGAATTTTTACGGTGGATATTAGGATACAAGTTACACTTTAGACCCACCCTGAATCTGAGTCTTGTTTCAAAATCATCCACATATCCATCTTGCACCACCTTTTGACCTCAGATCGGCCCATGTTGGGCAGGGTGAGGCGGTGCTTCATTACCATTGCTATTTAGGAATTATAACTGGACTTTCAGGGTCAACAAGGATTTTAGGCCATCACCATGTAAACAGAATCAAAATGGTGCCTACAAGTGGGTAGTGGCAACAGCTCTTTCTAAAGGTTTAGGCCATGGTTGCATTGGTTGATGATGGATCAGGTCTTGGTGAATGGTTGAGCAGTTGGTGACCCTTGTCTCAGCTACAAGTGTGTTTGAGTGTGGAGTCTGATGTGGCATAATGTTCGTTTGCCCATTCTTCTATAGGACTATAACTACATCTTGCCGAAATTGATAAGATTGACTCACTACTGTAGCCGCGGAGTACGTCATTCTTGACTAAACCACGTATAAAAATGCCTGAAGACGTGTTGTTGCCTTGCATTGCCGTGGCCGCCATCTGCCACCACCACTCAGTAGTGTCCGATCTAAAAAGATCCTAACCTTTATCTTTATCAAAATAACTCTAATTATTTTGGTGATTCAGTGAAAGGGACAGGATTTTGTGGGCAGTATTGTTTGTCTTTGTTCCAAAACCAGCAACGATACTAACTGTTTCATCATCATGGGAGACAAAGTTCTAGTTCAACAATTGACGTCCAATGAATACATAGTTTCGAGTGTAGGTATGATTAATTTTTCCGCTATTCTGAAGATTCCAGTTAAACTCAATACCACAAATTGTGCTCAATAGAGTATGTTTGTGCTAACCGACATTGAAATTTGGACAAAGATGATTATTTGAGTCACGACCTTCCAAACCCGAAGACCGGGAAGGAAAGCTCAATGATAGTGGTATTCGAATGGCTTTATAGAATGCAATGGAATCCCATGTCCTAAGCATTGCTCATAATTACTCTACCACAAAGATGCGGATGTAGTTGGAGTCTTCCTTCTTGGCCAAGGAATCATTTCTCGTACTTATTTTGTGATTGGATCTTACTTCAAAAACTAGCAGAGTGTCTCTAATCTCACCTATCAAAAGAGCTTCTAGTTTTTTCCTTGTAACTCTTATTGTTAAAGTTCAGTAGATAACCAAAGGGACATGATGACGTTCATTTCTGGGTTGTCTACCAAATATTCTAGTGCTTCTCAGTCTTGTCAGCTTCTTGGTCCTTGGTATCATCTTTCTCAAAAAATGTACTCAAGCATCTCTCAATCATAGTCCTCGACAAGTGACTTAGCACATGCAACTCCTAGTGCCAGAAGTATGGAAAAGAAGGGTATAAGAAGAAGATTGAATGTTTTTTCTGCAAGGATAATTGGCACACCAAGTATAACAATTCAAACTGTCCTTGTTCTAGCCCTAGATCTCAATTTCCTAGGCGTCCTCTTCAAGCCTAGGTAGCACAACTGAATGTATCAGGATAACTCCTGATGGAACTGTCTTCAATTTCAACATGAATCTTTTAGTTAGGTTCTATCTACTTCCCATGCTAGAAGTATAGGAAAAGAAGGGTATAAGAAGAAGATTGATTTTTTTTTCTGCAAGGTTTATGGGCACAACAAGTACAACTGTCTGAATTGTCCTCGGTTTGGCCCTAGATCTCAATTGCCTATGCGTCCTCTTCAAGCCTAGGTAGCACGACTAAATGTATCACGATAACTCCTTATGGAACTGTTTTTCAATTCCAACATGAGTCCTAGCTAGGTTCTATCTACTGCCCATGCTAGTATGGCACGATGAGGTATAACATCTATTTGTTGTTCTTCATACTCATCATCTTTGGATTATTGATTTAGGAATCATATGACTGGGAATGAGGACCTTAATATTCGATCTTAATACTAATATACCTCATAATCTAGTTCAACCTGCAAATGGATCTTCAATTCAAATAATAGGCATAAGATCCACTAGCAAACCACAAGGACTTCTTTAACGACATCAATTTTAGGGACCCAAACCATTGGAAAAACAAACTACAAGGATCCATTTTGTGAATATTTCATTTTAGGGACTCAATCTGTTAATATCACTAAAGCACAGGGAAGAAACATGTAATTTACTTTAGATTTTGTTTGTAGCAAGTTGGGCATGATTAACATTTTTGCTTCTACTTGAGGAGTGTTAGATATTGTACATTTTAGGTGATTAGAGTTTACACTATCTAGTAATCTAAAGTAGGGTTCCCATTATAGGATATCAACTTGTATATAATGGATTGTAATTCTTTCACTTGAAAGAGTACAATGAAATTCCCTGATAACTTGCACTTGCACTTGCAATAAAAGCATTAGATCTTCTTTCACCCTTCCTTGCAAATATCAATGTGTCAGTTGCGGATGACTATGATGGAGACTTACTTGAGTACATTTCTCAAACAAGATGATATGTGGATGCCAAAGATTGAGAGGTCGGATGATCGTAGAGGACGATGACCAACAAAATATTTGGAAGACAATCAAGCAATGAGAAGATAACTTGAAGCTCCTTTATTAGTTTCCATAGCCTGGTACCTAGTGAGATATGAGCCACCTTGATTGCATTTGAAGTAGGACCCAAATACGGAATAATTATGGGACAAGGATTCCTTAGCTGAAAAGGAAGAGTCCAAATGTTCCTGCATCTTTTTGTGGTCCGGTAGTTGTAGAGGATGCTTAACACTTGTGGTTCCATTGCATTCCATAAGACCATTCGGATACCCTATCATTGAGCTCCCATACCGGGAGGGTTTGGAGAATCCCGACTCAGATAATCATGTTCGTCCAAACTTTCGAGACTGGCTTGGACAAACATACTTCATTGAGCTCGATTTGTAGAGGTGGGTTTAATTGGAATCCTTCAAATAGCAAAAAAAAGTTTATTATACCCGGAATTGTAATTCACTAGACTTACAACTCTTGAATGGTAACTTTGTCGCCCATGAGACATTTATATTAAGACGGTTTGTTTAAAAAAAACTTGGATCATCATGAATGATATAATTCAAAAATATCAAATCACTCTAATGCTCCTCAACTTTGTAAACCTTGAGAAGACAAATAGGTTCATACTTCCATATTGCTTGTTGAAAGAGGGCATAAGGGTAATTTTTATAGAAGACTTTTCAAGGATCTTTTTTGCTTTGTTAAGTCAGAGACTAGAAAGAAATAACATACATTGACAATGATAACCAATGACGGCGGCAACGACTGGGGGACAATACATGGGGGTTGGATCTTGGTCAAGCCTCCGGAATATATTGGGAGGCCACGTGTGATCGGTCTTGCTAGGGCGACGGCTGGGATTCCGTCATCGGAGACGGCGGTGACTAGGGTTTTGTCACCGGAAAAAAGAGGCTCTGATACCATGTAATGTTAATCAGGTAATTTCTATATCATCCCTTAAAGAGAGAATTTCATGAATATATTTATATATGTATAGTTACATACACACACAACTTAGGAACCTATATATGGAATAATGGAAATCCTACTTTTACAAACAAGAAAGTGAAACCCTAATTTACGATATCTAACATAATTCAAGTGTGAACAATGTACAACTACATTCATGCTTTGATGTGACGGGATGATCTAAAGAGTTAGAAGAATGAAGTGAAGAAAAAATGTTACAGGCAAAAATAGATAAATGCGACAGCTTACTTTCACAACTTTTTTCAATTAAATGCTCGAACAAAAATGTTGCCACTCACATATTTATAATTTCACAATCATATCAATTACATCATTTTTCTTACAATTTTAGTCAGATTTAACTTGCATAAATGATCAATTTGGGACAGGATGACGAGGAGAAGAACAATTTGAAGGAGAGAATATTTAATCATCTCAACCATTATTGATGATTTATGTTAGGTAATTTGATTAAAATTCGATGATGCAATTGATATGATTATGATGGTATAAGTATATGATTGACAAAAAAATTGCTTGAGTATGAAATTGTGAAAAAGAAATATGAAAGTACATTGGTGTAATTACCTATTTTGCCTTGTGTATAAATTTAATATCCAATGCCAACTTTATATCATATGGTTCCAGAATCTAAATCTATGAGATGCTTGACAAAATCTTCGGATCAAACTCTGTAATTGGCATTGTCAAGTCGAGAGTAGATTTCCATATCCCTCCCGAAAAAGTTGCCTACTAATCTGATCTATCGATGCTCTCTTGCTCCCTTAACACCCAAAAACAAAAAAACAAAAACATAAAAGAAACAAATAGTGGTTTGGCTATGGTTCTCTGTAGAACTTCCTTTAAATTCATCCCCTGCATATGACTTGGTCCACACCTAGCTGTGTTTCTGCCAAAAGATTGTTGGTTCATATCAAGGTATCTTTGCAACTGCTTTATTGAGGAATGGCATTGTGATCATGCTTGTCAAGGCTTTTGCTTTTGGTTAGCAGTTTTATATCTAAGCAACTACTTATTATTTGTCTATACGAAATATAATTTGTGTATAATATTGTTTGCTATGACCTTAATCTTATGTTCTGTTAATATTGATCAAGATTGTTTTTTTTGGCAGGATCATTCTCACTGTACTGACACTGGTTTCCGTACCGTCGAGAACTCTTGCAAACCCTTAGTTTTAAAGGAACTTAAAAGGTTATGGGAAAAGCAAGATCCAAGTCTTCCGTGGAGGAAAGGAGAGTATGATGAATCAAATACACTTCTTTTAGAACATTCTCCATACAAGGCTCTGCTAAATCCCGTCAGTGATCTAACATTTTCCTAATTTAATTGTTCTTTTTTTTCTTTTTCTATGTATTTATGTTTTTGTTTTCTATAATTAAATGAATGACATCCATGCTAATTCGCTTTTTCCATTTTCAGCCACATACAGCAATCTTTCCGTATCCTTACCGTTACTGGAAGATAGATGATAATTGCTTAGGCAAGTCATCCTATCCTTTCGTCTTTCATTTTTCAGCCACATCTATATAATTACAGAAATGGTATTTCAAGATAATGCATATTATATGTTCACTTCAAATATGAACCTTGTTATCCATTTTAAAAAATTGAGTAATAATATAACAGAAATTTTACTTACACCAACACACTAACCCCCCCCCCCCCCCNTTCTCGGCAGGCCCCAAGGCCCAGGTCTGATTTCTTCTTCCCCTTCTCCCCCTCTATTATTGAATTCTTTGCAAAATCCCCCCCTCTTTGTTTCTGTTTCAAACATGTTTTGATAAGTGTGCATCAACTCTTGGTACCAAAAAGGTATATGTACTTTCAAGTCCAGATTCACCTATGAACTTTCGGTCACACCCCACCTTTTTCTCTTTTACGCTTCAATTAAGCCATGATATGACTACCTACGTGAGTGGCATCTTATGGTCACGTTTTTTTCTCTTCTTTAAGTCTCATTCCATCTTTTACTCTCAGTACACATGCTACTCCAGAATGATGCTAGAAGCTTCTGCTTGTATTGTCAGGAAAACCAGAAGATTAATTATCTAGTTTGCAACCTTATTGAGGTCTTTCATCTAGCTGAAAACCCTAATCTCTAAATTGCTATTGTGGTTTCTTATTGGGACTTAGTTATGAGTTTATGTTGCACTTGCATGTTTTAGAAAAATTGACTATATTTAGTTAGATTAGTGTAGCACCATGTTGAGTTGGCAGCAAGGATGGTTAAGCAATATGTTCCTCTTACTTTTTTTCCTTTCTTTTTTTTTTCATTTTTTCTTCAATATCGTAATAGGTGCTGAATTTTTTACATGGTCTGTGTTATTCGCTTAATTTTGACGTTTTGATTGCGCAAGCAAGTTGTCATATTCTTGATGTGTCATCACAGGACCGGAAGGCGACCTTCGTATTTATCTGGAAAGATTAGCAGCATCCGAGAATGTCCAGAAATTTGTAGAGGAAAATCCATTTGGCCAACGCCCCATTACAAAAAAAAATCTATCATGGGGATTTTACCATAAAGTTATCCGTGCCTTCTCATCTGAACCAGAAGCTGATGCTAGTTGTTTATTGGATGCCCAATGTAACAACTCATCTGAACCAGAAGCCGATACTACTACTCCATCGGTTACTCGAACCTTATCGGTACCAAAAGCCGACATTATTACTGCTTCTGCTGCTCAAGTCTTATCTGAATCAAAAGCCGACACTATTACTGCTTCTGTTCCTTTATCTGAACCAAAAGCCGACACTATTACTGCTTCTGCTGCTCAAACTTCATCTGAACCAAAAGCCGACACTATTACTGCTTCTGCTGCTCAAACTTCATCTGAACCAAAAGCCGACACTATTACTGCTTCTGCTGCTCAAACGTCATCTGAACCAAAAGCAGATATTATTTCTGCTTCTGTTGCTCAAACGTCATCTGAACCAAAAGCAGACATTATTACTGCTTCTGTTGCTCAAACCTCATCTGAGCCAAAAGCAGACATAATCACTGCTTCTGTTGCTCAAACAATATCTGAACCAGAAGCCGACTCTTTGGCTGCTACTCAGACCTTACTCGAACCATCAGTAGCCAACACTAATCTTTCTTTAAACCCTGCTAATGATGGATCCTGAGAGAAGTGAGTACATGTACCCTGATCTTAATGTCGAGTGTTTTTGTATGCTTACAAGCCGTAATTTGTCTTCATAGATTATAATAGATCATCATCTAGGTATAGATAGTTTGAACCCGTGCATTCTTTGGTGTTATTGATTCTTGTGTCCTTTCGTTATGTTATATTTTTGATCGAGGTTATGAGATGGTACTATGTGTGACACGATGAGATGGAGGATCGAGTGGTCTAGTGGTGGTGCCGCCAGCAGGTTGATCTTGTGGGTCATGGCCCTTGTGTTTCACTTCTATCAGGAATATTTGTTGGTAGTTTAGATTGACATTTCGCTTTACGCCAAGCATATAGGATGGATGGAGATATGCTTACAATTGTTCGGAAGATGAATAGCCTATATGCAAATGCTCGGTATATTAAGCGAGTTTGTAACGAGCAGATACGGTTATTATGATACGACTGTATTGGGTTTTTATAACAATGTTACTATAAGCTTGGTTAGGTTCTTATTTCTTATGATTTTGAATTTTGGCATGTATATTGCAACGTTGTCATACTTATAATGTTGGATTGTATTTTTACTGGTTCTTTTTCTACTTTTCTAGAGCCAAGTTGTATATTTGGATAATCTGGACTGGGTTGTGACGTATCTTAGATTTGTTTTATGGAGTTTTACAACACTTTGACAAATCTTCAGAGGTTTCTAAGGAGACTTGGGGTTGTTCGGTTTATTTTCTGTTAAGACATGTATGGATATAGTTGTATGTATTGATATAGTTGTCTGTATATTAACAGATAAGTTGTTCGGTTGTTGAATGTTGTTGTGTTGAGTAAACAGTCTGAATGTCAGAAATGACCATTTTACCCCCAGTTTATATTTTACTTTAATTAGACTTTTATATACTTGATACAACAGAGCCACATCCCTTACATCACACCAAACACCACCATCACCGTACGGTTCCCCTTTCCATTCAAGTAAACACCACCATCACCACCAGCTTTCTTGAACCTGCCGCGAGGAACTCCAACACTCCACCATCACTGAACAGTTCCCCTTTCCATTCCTGTTGGTTGAAACCCCACTGGAATTGTCAACCTAGAAGAACAATTGAAAACCACAACCGATGAACGACATAACGAGATGACGAACAACTGAATGTTTGTAGAAAAATGAAACAGAAGAAATTTGGAGGACCTGGTTGTTTTTTAGATGATTTTGATGAACGACGAGCTTGTTTGATTCAGAAATAGATGGAGAATAAAGTGTGTGAAAAACCGGTTGGCGGGAGAAAATCAGCGACGACAGATCTCGACAAAAGCTCGAGTAGAAGGAAGGTGAGTTGATGTACGGTTGTTTATCTTCGTCGGAAAGCAAATTTGTGAAGTCGAAATCAAAAACCTCCTCCGTCTTTCACTATCGGAAACACAAAGAAATCAAGGGGAAATCAAAAACCTCTTTCATCGAAACTTGATTCTTCATTGCCAGAAGCACAAAGAAATCAAAAACCTGTGATAGATGGCAGAAGTAGAATCAATGGAGTATTGAGAGAGAAGTAGTGATGGAGTGTTGAAGGAGAGGGATAGTTGGGGGAATGTAATGTTGAATACAAAGGACACAAGTTTTGTAGCTGAGCGATTCAACCATGGGTTGACCGAATAAGCCCATACCGAACAATTAGATATGGCTGACCGAATAAGTCATACGCCTTCTACAGCCCATTAAGCCGCAACCTAACAGCCCCTTAAGTGCTTGCTAGATTTTACTTATCTTACTAGGTAAGCATGAAAACAATTGGGAATCCTACCGATCTTACCCTATAAGAGGTATAACAAAGACCGAGAATCTTGCTAAAGGTAAAAAAAATTAGAAAAATCATTTTACTTTTTAATCATGATCTATTATATGATTTATCAAGAGGATTCATGTAAAACGCCTCTAAGAGGATGTTTTGTTCATTGAATTTTGTGGAATTGGAAGGAATTGGAATGTCCAAATCTTTGACCAAATTCCAAATCTCATGTTTGGTTCACATAATAGATGTGAAGGAATCCTTCCAATTCCAACCAATTCCCTAATTCATTGATTTCACAATTCCACCACATATACCACGGATTTCAAATTTCAATCAGATAAATTCCTTAGCCCTCATCCATTCATCGACGTTGTATCTCGATTTGCTCTGTTCTACTTTTCTCGATCTCGTTTAAAACTAAGAATGACAACGGGCCAGGTTCGGGCCGGTTATTGGTATCCCCGTCCCAGAAACCGATAACTAAAACCGTCCCTATGACCGCCTTGATCCCCGTCAGGGATCTTATCAGGTCTCGCGGTTTCCCCGATCCCCGTTGGGGAACTCGTTAAGGTAAAAATCCTCTTTTTCCCGTTCACCGTTGGTTGTAACCGAACCCGAAATCGAAACCCGAAACAAATCTAAAAATCCCCGTTAAAATCCCGGAATTTAATATTATATATATATATATATATAAATATATATGTATATGTATATGTATATAAATTAAAATTAATATACATAAACATATCAGGCCGGGACGGGCCGATGTTCACCGTCCCCGCCCCCGTCCCGGTTAAAATCCCCGAATCCAGCCCGAAAGTTTCGGTTTCAGTTTTTTTTTCCTATAATTTTCTCGCTGAATTCCGTGAACGAAACAAAAAAATTCCAATTCGGTTAAGAATTTCATTCCAATTCCATCCAACCAAACGCAATCAAAAGACATGGTCAAATTCCATCGAATTCCATTTTATTCTCTCAAAGTTAAATTCATTTGATGAATTCCAATTCTATTGAATTCCATTCTACGAACCAAACGCCTCCTAAGTCTTTGAATGATTCAATTTTTTTGTCTAACAGCTAAAAAATACAAACATATACAATTATCGATAAAAAAACATAGACCTTCATCTGTCTTCATCAAATTTCATTTGCATCTTCTTTACACATCTTCAATCACTTTAATACGCATTAATTTGTTAAAGTTGTCTTCATCAATTTTCATTCACATCTTCTTTACATATCTTCAATCATTTTTACACGTATTAATTGTGTCAATACTCAACTTCGTCAGTCTGGTTGAACAGCCTCCCAATGAAAGCGAGCCAAGACTTTGCTTGCTGTTTGTGTTTGTCCGCCACAACTGCTCAACCAACTGCTATGTCAAAGTTTCAGTTATAATGATAAAAAACCGTAGAAACTGATAAATAAAAGTAGATGAAAAATTTATGAAGCATTTGGTTGTGTTTCAATTTTTGGTTTATGGCTTTTGGGCATGACCACATTGATTTTGATATGTACAAATACACATGCATAAGAAAAGGTGGATGTGATAAAAGCATTAGAAAGTAGGAGTTAGGAATCATGTGACAATCAAAGGGAAGTACTACTACTACACCAACCATCAAGAAAATTAAAATTAAAAATTGTTATATATATTTTAAAAAATGAGTTATTATGCAACTATTTACATTTGTATAATCAACACAGCCCAATCTCAACCGTTTATTTAATTTGATGAATATGTGATTTCATAAAAGTTTGATTATTTTCTAATATAAAGTATTGATCATAATTAGTGAACTCTAGTCATCTTTCATAAATATTTAAATCATAATAAACGAACTCTCATTATTTTCATAAATATCTCAATTGATTGGATCACATTGATTGTATAAATGGATATGGTACCCAGTATTTTTAATCTATGAATTATATCCCATGTTTTGATGAATTAGATTTATAAAATTCAAATTAAATTCATAATGTTGAGTTTGACTTTTAGTTTTTGTTTTGTTTAATTGGAGTTATGTTTGATAACATGGGGTCTCATATTGTTCCATGATTAGAGCTTGTAAGTGGTTGATTTATCCCCATAAATAGAGCTGGGACCTTATCCCACAACCATATGCATGTGATCTCACTCCTCTTTTTGCATGTGATTCCTTACAAAAATATACATATTTTTTTATTTTATTAAACAAAATAAATACCACATGTAAATTAAATAAATAACAATTTTATTCTTAAAAATAAAAATATTTTTTTTGCTCATAATTAAAATTCAGCATGTAAGGTATGATTGAAAAGAGGCATAAGTCGAGCTACAAGAAAAACGCCGTTTGCTACCATTGTAACTCAAACATTCGATCAATCAGATCAATCCGAAGCAACCCGATGTCTAATCAAGTTGTAAAATTGTCAAACCGTTGGTATTGGGTTGATATTGGGTTGCTATTATTTGAACCCAACCCAACCCGATATCCTTTTATTTCTTGGATTTAATATAATCGTTAAATTTCTATTAATATATACATTAGATAGTTACACTATAATGTACGCTCTTTATGTACACATATTTCCAATCTATTCACATCTCTATATATAACTCATTCGTATATATGTTCGGTAACTGTGAACATATATATATATATGTAAATTGAAAAAGTTAATTGAATGTGATATACGTAAGAAGTATGGATTAGTTATATCAAATGGTTGATGATGAAAATAATTTATGAGTAGAAAATAACATATTCAAGGTTAAAATAATATTTTAATATACTAAATTATCAACCCGACTAACCTGACCAACCCATACAGGTTGGGTTGGGTTAGTTTGTGTTTTGGTTTGGATTGGGTTGGGTTGGGTTGGATTGAGTTAAGATTTTTTAAAACACAAACATTAGGTTGACTTCAACCCAACTCATGAACACCCTTACTTCAAGTTAAAAAAATATGTATTTATTTTTAAAAATAAATATTTATTTTAAGATAAATTAAAATATAAATATAAAGTTGATAAATTCAAATAAATGTACAACTGTGATTGCATGTAGTACATGTTTTTTCAAGAAGAAGATGATTTAAGAATGATGGATGAGTTGCCATGAATAAGCCTGTCAAAATCCCACCATCATCGATACTATAAAAATCCCACCATCCAATTTCAGACCCATCTCATTCGCTTCACTGTAGAACCCCAAGAGAATAAACATACCCCCTTCTTCTTCAACCTCGCAGCATATATTCTCCTGGCTTGCTTACATCCTTCGTGCATTCATATTTGTAATTACAAGGTAAATTAATGTGTTCTTTTGATGATAATTTGCATTACAGCTTTTATTTTTACCGATACCCATTTGAAATTTTGTCTTATATGGTTTCCTTCTATTCCCTCTGTTTTCTGCTTATTATGTTAACAAAATCACAGTTTGTATAGAAATCCCAGAGGACACAAAGTGGGTTTCAGTGCTTTTATTCCCATTACAGTTTTTTTCTCTTCTTGGATTGAACTCTGTTTGGTTTTGGGTGTTTAATTGTTGAGGGTACATTGTGGAGCTTTTGCTCAAATAGTAGGGAGACGCATTCAATTTGGTTTCTGATGTATAAGAATTGTGATTGAGATCACTGGAATTGGGATGGTGGATCAATTTTGAAATGACTGTAAATCTTTGAGATCGGAGAGAGATAAATGAGAATTCGGGTTTGATATCTCTCCTTGCCTTCCAACTGTTTGAGATTATGTTTGAGAGAATTAGAGAATATTTGAATAGATTGGTTGGCTTTAGTATCAACTGATGGTCAAAGGATTTTGTTCAAGATCCATTTTAATGTCAAAATAATTCCACTTGACAATCAAAAGTCAAAAGTTGAATCTGAAGTTGTGAAGGAGGGATATACATTGGATCGTTTTAGTATTCAAATGGCTGCAAAGTATTTGCATTCACCGAGATTTACAGAAGCAAATTGGATGCATGACTGGTGTCTTTCAAATCTTTAACTGCCATCATATTGTTTTCGAAAGGCGTGTTTTTTGCCGGAGACTCCCCACTTTGGTTTGTTTAATTGGTTCTTGATTTATTTTCTATAATGGTAGTAATATGAACACCAAATGTTGTCATGATTTGAATGATTACACTTGCTTAAGTTTAGGTTTTCTTGTGAGTTAATTGTGCCCAAGTGTCCACATTCATTACCGAAAACAACCAGCCACCATCGTCATTAGTGCCATTTTTTGGATACATTAAAGTGCACATACACAAAGACGCCCTAAATTTGTTGCAAAAAGAGAGAGAATTACTCCAGGTTGAAGCCATACTTAGCTCATGGCTGCAGCTGCATCTTTTTTTGGAAGGGTGTCCCAGGCTATGCCCAGACTAATCCAGGCAAATTGTGACCGTAAGAAATCAGCCCTAATAAACTCTGTGGCCACGGTTGTTGTGTACGCCTAGAATCCAACCCTAGCAACTGCATCTTGCTACAGACAAATTCTGGTCTTCAGAACCAGATTACATGCTCACACTCTGGCATGTGCTGGTTAGTATTGGTTATTAAAACAAGGATTGTTGGCAAGAAATTTTTGGTATGTAGGAGTAAAATCTTCATATAGAAGAGAAAAAGAAGTTTCATTTTCCAAATCTTACTCATAATATGGATTCATTCTAGTCATAGTAGTCCCAAATGCCAATTAATCCAAAATAAGCATGTTGTTACCTTTAAGCAGTGTTCTAAAAGGTGCACCATGGCGCAAGGCTCGTCTTTGGCGCCATGTTACCTGTATGGTATGCCATGGTCCAATGCACGTTTTTTGTAAGGTGTTACTTGATCTTTTTTGTATTTTTAATTATCTTTTACTATTTTTAATGTTTTACTTTTTAGTTTCTAGTACACAAATTACTTGTATATGGTCTTAGATCGGAGTAATAGCATAAAACATGTGTATACACATATTTGCCGCCATAAGTCACATTGAAAAACGCCATGGCTCTGAGGCTCAATTTTCGTTATTGCTTGTTCTTCATTTTTCCGGATGAGAATAGTTATGCAAAATACTGAACTGTTGTGTTTATAAAGGTCCGAGTTTAAGAACACTTGTGATTTCAGGACTTGCATTTGAACAAGCACATACAGGAAAAACATAGGGTATCCACCAAATCATCTACAGACTTTTTATCCTTGTGGTCTTCTCCATCTCCCTTCTCCTATATGCATTATGTCATAGATAGAAGACCTCAACAGATGAAGCATCAAAGTCTTGACCTTCGAGATGTGGTCAAAGACTCGATGTATAGAGAAGCTCGTGGGTTATCACATAGAACTACAATGGGAAAGAAGGCTCCAGATGTGGCGAACTATAGGGAGTCACATTATGTTCTTGCTCAACTTCGAGAAGCCAATTGGTATGGTGATGAACCTAGAGAACTGTCTAGATCAAAATCTTGCCAATATGAAGATGGGTTTTCGTTATCTATCTCTAAAGATTGTCGTCGGTTTTCTTATGATGGGAGGGAAACCGACCGTTTGTCCATCAGATCCGGAGACACTGCTAAAACGACCACCCCAAAGCAACTGAAAGAATTACCAAGACTTTCTTTAGACAGTAGAGAGCGATCCATACGTACTCTTAGCTCTGTTTCACTTGTGCCCGTCAAACCATTTGATTCAAAATCTAACCTGCCTTCAAGGAACCCGAAGATTGATTGTGACAAGGGCTTGATTCAGACACGGCCACCAAGTGTTGTAGCTAAGTTGATGGGTTTGGAAACTTTCCCTGATTCTGTGTCAACCAGTGATGAAAAGTTGGATGTGGGCCCAATCAAAAGTCACCATGTCGAGGATCTTAATTCATTATCAAAATCTTCAGAAGCAACTGATTTCTGTGAGTCGATTAATATGCATAATTCCTCAAGAAGCTCAATGAGGCAACCAACATCTCCATGTTGGAAAAATCCCGACTTGAAGCCAATTTCTAGAGTTCCCATTGAACCGGCACCATGGAAGCAACGTGATGGTACTCAAGGTCTTCAGAAACCAGCTCCTTGTGTTATTAGATCCTCAAATAAGATACACAGCCCAGTCTCTTCTGTCTACTGCGAAGTGGATAAAAGATTGAAGAATCTTGAATTTTTACAATCTGGGAAGGATCTTAGAGCTCTCAAACAGATATTAGAAGCAATGCAGGCTGTCGAAGCCAAAAAGAGCGAAAAACTGAATACTGTGGATAGACCTTCAGACCATGAAATGTCATTATATGATCATCAAAATCCACCATCTGCAAATAGGGGGTCAAATGTTTCACGGGCTAATGAGTCCCATATTGTCATCATGAAACCAGCAAAGCTTGTTGGAAAAGGTTTTAGAAATGATAAAGCATGTAAAGATCCGATTACTGAAAGTACATGTGGAGAAAGGCAATCTCGTCCGTCCACACTTTCAGATTCTAGTAAACCAAGAAAGCAGTCAAACAAGCAGCAGTCAGAGTCTATGTCTCCTAGCAGGAGGAGGCGGCTTTCAAATTTCCAGCAAAGTGATGATCAAAACAAAGAGATTAGTAGCGAACTTAGGAAGTTGAGTTGCAACAAAACTCAATCGTCTCAACGACTTGATGGTGGTCGGGTTTCGAAGATGGATGCAGAGGTTAATGCATCTGAATATTCTGAAGAGACCAATAGCAGGCAGAGTTGTGGCTCAACACAAGAGGTAATGTATTAGATATTACTTTCAGTAAATTTCTATGTTCTGATTGTTTAGCTGATTAAATTATTCTTACTATTTCCAAAAAATCAATCTTGGTCATGAAGGTGGGTGAATCACTCACCCCAGAATATCCAAGCCCAGTCTCTGTTCTTGATGATTCAGTACATATGGGCAATTCACCTTCACCTGTGAAATATACACCAAATACCCGAAAAGGTACATTCTTTCCTTTTGTCTTTTTGGATATAATTAGGGCCCATTTGGTTTGCAGGATTTGGTGGGATTTGAATTGGATTCCATTCCAATCCCGTGTTTGGTTTAAAGGAAGTCCGAAATTGAATCCCACATACATTTGATTCAAAATTCCCATGAGGTAGTTGATATTTCACGAGATTTCATATTAGATTTCTAGAATGATGTTATATGTTGAATGGCATAGCCCTGCTGATTCCTTATGTCTTTTTGGATAAATTCATCTTTAATTGGCAAAAAAATGCGATATATGACTGTAGGTGCTCTGAACATGCTAGAACTTAGTTAACTCTATGGTAAAAGGGCGAGATAAATGTTTTTCGACAGTTTTTCTTTTTGAACTTTACCACAAAACGGAAAGTGAGAATTTTGGGGTGATCATGCTAAAAGGTGCCCTGGTGCACCAAGGTTCCTGCTTTATGAGGATTGAGGAGGCCAACCTTTACACCATGGTGCTCATTGAATTGATTAAGCATGTATTATGATTCGATTAAACTAACCCTAATGTTCGCTTAACAGATTATACTACTCAAAACCCAGCTGAGAAAATTGTTACAGATCAAGTTGGAGCAACAAACGATCGCGTATCAAGCCCGATCAACCTTGAAAAACTGCAGCAAGTTGAGCATTTGGTTCAAAAACTAAAGAGATTCAATTCCAGCCACGATGAAGCTCACATAGATTACATTGCATATCTCTGTGAAAACACGAACCCTGATGACAGATACATCTCGGAGCTCTTCTTAGCTTCTGGGCTCCTCCTCAGAGATCTTGAATCTTTTGAGTTTCACTCTTCTGGTCATCCATTCAACCCTGATCTGTTCTTGGTCTTGGAACGAACCAAATTCAGCAATCTGCAGAAGGAAAAGTTCCATCGGAAGCTAATCTTCGATGCTGTTAATGTGATTCTTGAAGAGAAGTTACAGTCGGCTTGTAGAACGATGCAGGATCCTAGAAACCTTTTGAGGGAGTTGTGTTTGGAGATAGATCAGCTGCAAATGCAAAAGAAAAGAGAAAGGTGTGGGTTTGGGGAGGATGATGATGATGATGATGGATTGAAGAGCATTCTGTGGGAGGATGTGTTGAAACGGTCGGAAAATTGGACGGGTTTTCATGGTGAAAGTCCGGTGATCACGGGGGAGGTTGAGCGGTTGATCTTTAAAGATTTGATTAATGAAGTTGTGGCCGTCCTAGATCGGAGGTCTGGTGACTTTTCCGGCAAGGCTACCTGACACTAAAAATCTCCATATTGGTTCTAATTTGTTAGTGTAGGGAAGACTTATTACTGGTTAATTAGTTTTGCTCTTTAACTTTATCAATACTTTTGTAACTAAAAATTTTAAAGATGTCGTTGTGAAACCGATCATGTTTGACTCAAACTGACTTTTTATTCGTAAAATCATCGTGTGTATTCAGGAAATACTCCTTAATTTAGATTTCGATGTCAGGTATCGATGTTTCTAAGGATCCTTGCAAGTTGAGCCTGGAATCGTGCAGCAACCGAAGCATTTCAGACTTCTGCAAGGGTTGTTCGACCCTTGTGTCGTGTTCCTTTCATTGCAAGGCCGGGATGTGCCATCCCATGTACTATAAGTGGGGAGTTTTGGAGTTCGACGACCCTTGTGGCAACGACCCTTGCACTAGGAGGCCACGGTCTCATTTCGTGTAACGTGAGGGCGACCCTTGTGCCATGACCCTAGGGATAAAAGCGTCAAGATCTACTTCACTCTTTGCCATCTAGTGTTGTTTTGTAGGGTTTTCACCAAAACCTAGTTTGTGAGTTCATTCTAACTTTTCGATGAAATTTTATAAATGTTAAAATGCTAAATTTTGGGTATTTTGGGAGATTTGAGGGTTTTTACCTTTTTGTTATTAAATGATGAGATCTTCAAGTATGTGTTATAAATGTATGTATTAAGTACGTAATATATTATCATAAGACTTGAACTTCATGATCTATGTGTTATATGTAGCTTTGATTTTCACATACTTGAAGGTATTTCACGGAAAATAATCAGATTTTGGAAGGAACGGTGCTAACACATGGGAGATGGAGTGTTCTTGGTTTTGAGAATTATGGAATCCTTATTGATTACTAGAAGGGTACTCGCGATGCAACGAGATATATCTTCATTTTAAGGGAATTTATTTGGTTTTATTGGGTCTTAATCCATTTATCGAGCCTTAATGGACTTGATTCGGTTTTATTGGGCCTTAATCCATTTATCGAGTCTTAATGGACTTGATTCGGTTTTATTGGGCCTTGATGGGCTTGATTCGGTTTTATTGGGCCTTGATGGGCTTGATTCGGTTTTATTGGGCCTTGATGGGCTTGATTCGGTTTTATTGGGTCTTAATGAGCTTGATTCGATTTTATTAGGGCTTAATGGAATTTATTCGGTTTATTGGGTCTTAATGAAATTTATTCGATTTAATAATTAATAATTAATTGAATTTATAGTTATTAATTAAAAAAGTAATTTAAAAAATTAAATAATAATAAAAAAACTTTTTAGCGACGGAATTTCACTCGGAAATCCATCGCTGATGCTAGGTCAAGCCTCCATTTCAGATATGTGTTTGGAACAGAGAGAGGTATACGTACTGCACGATCGATCGAGAGAGAGAGAGAGAGATCGCGAGCACCACCGTCCTCACCGTCGCCGACCAACACCGCTGTCCCCTTTGCAACGACCACAGCTGCGCCATCCCCGTTCCGACCAGCACCGCCTTCCCCGTCGCCACCACAGCCGTCCCCTTGCAGTTAAGGTACGATTTTGTTTGAGTTTGTTTTAGAGTGTAATACAAATCTGTTTTGGACATCAAATCTGTTAGGGGAAAGAATGTAATCTGAAGCATTCAAAACAGATATATGTAATCTGTGTGTAGATGGTGTTGTTTTGGACATCAAATTGGTTTTGTTTGCTTCTGTTGGGTGATATATATATATATATATATATATATATATATATATA